ATTTTCAATTTTCTTTATTTCCAAGGTATTGTTGGAACATGATAAATCTTTTATTTGTTTATCAGTTGCTTCTGTAGCTCTACACAAATTTACAGCTTCTTTGAGAGTCAAATTATCACGTTTTAATAGTTTATTTTTTAATGATACATCTTTTATTCCCAAAACAATTTTATCACGAAGCATTTCATCTTTGATTTTATCATAATCACACTCATCTACAAGTTTTTTTAATATTGCTAGGTAAACGTCAAATGATTCATTTAATTGTTTTTTTTCTAAAAAAATGTATCTGTTATATATGATACTCTTCTTAGGAACCATTTTTGTGCTTATTGATTTTAAAACATCTTCACATGATTTGGATTGTTTGTCAGATTCTGATAAACCAAAATTACTGTATTTTTTTAAGGCCTCTTCGCCTATGGCACTAAACAGTATGCTTACCTTACGGGGTTCTTGGTCTTTATCCCAACCGTCAAGTTGTGTAGCTCGGCAATAGTCCCTCCATGAGTACTCAAATCTTTTAAAGGCATCTTCTAGGTCTATATGTATATTAATTGCTGCCGGCCACGGCACATTTATGTTGTTTTGAACGTGAGGAGGCAATATTTGTTGTTGCGACAATTTCATAATTTATTCTTACATAGACTTGAGAAGAGCAGTCTGATGCGCAACTACTTCTGCTAGGTTAGTGTCCATTGTTATCACTAATGATTTACGCTGCCACCATGTTTTATTTGTCTCAGATAAATACTGAATTATTGAATTAATAATTTTTTATTTAGGTATTTCACAATTTCAAGTGCAGTCGCATCTTTGAGCAAATTATTGTTCTGTGTTCTGACATCTCCAAAGACGGGCTGTCATTGTCAACTCACTCTATTTTTTTTAAATAATCTATTTGGGACCTAGCCCATACAACAGGAACAGCAGTAAATCAATGGTATCTACCGTATCTACAATACAAATAGATTGTATGTACAGTCAACAGCACGTCAGGTTATACAAAACTGATAAATTTATCTTTTTCATTTTAAACCTTAATAAATTGAAGGTAGAGTCCAATATCGATTGCAGAAATTCACATATTGTGGTAACGTGGTAACCTGACGTCTAGCCGCGATTACATTTATATTCCACGTGAATTTTCTCATTTGGCAGTTTAGTCTAGGCTTGCCAGACCGCCGGGAAATCCGGGATTGTCCCGGAATCTTGCCTCTTGTCCCGTGTCCAGTAATTAGCGCTTATTGCACCGGATTCTGGAAACTTATTATTTTTTTACAAAATAAACTAGCAACGAATGACACGGCTGCCGGTGAGCGGGTGCGGGAGGCGCGCGGGCGCGGGAGGGGAGTGTGTGCAATAGTTTTACTTCACTCGCCCACCCGCAGTAGCTGTATTTAAAAGGAAAAATGCCATTTATTTTCAAATGGCATTTTTCCTTTTAAATACAAATACGAAAAAAAAAATATTTAAGATATTTTCTATTATAACTACGAGCCAACATTTTTTTTGTAGAATTGTCCCGGATTTGATAAGTTACTATCTAGCAACCCTAGTTTAGTCCCGCCAACTAGCTAAGATGCACGCGATTAAAAATCGCGATGTGAACAGTCCCTAAAAAGTCCAGTATTTATAAATCACCTCGTGATAGTTAATCGAGAACCTTAATTACAAACAACCTAAATTGGCTCTTAATTGCAAATATTTCTAGCTCCAACAGCCTTATGATTTATATTCTAGTTTTGCATTTACACAACCTGTGGAAACCTATGGAAATGTGATATGGAGAAAACATCGATCCTTGTCAGTGACAAAGTAAAGTAAGTATTATTGAATGTTTGACAGCAGATTATTTAATAGCTATCAAGTTAGGAGTAATCAGGGTGATCATCGCCTTCTTTTATTCATTTCATTTTACAAGTTAAACGTCAATTTATTTACTTGACATTAGCAGAATTGTGCGAAATGCGCAGATATGCCATTAATTTAAAAAAAAAGGAGTAATCAGTGCTGCTATAAAAACAATCGTTTGGGTAATATCATTTTATTAGGATCTGATAGAAAAACATTTGATAATTTGCATTAATGGAATGCTTTTGACAACAAACATTTATTATTTATGTTAAGTGAGATAAATTTTAATTATACAATGGCATAATTTCACAGGTTTAACCATTTGAAACGTTTGAAACAATTTTATACAAACACTAATTTATACATACAATAATATTTTAATATATCACTAGTTATACCACAGATATAAAAGCATAAATCCACATTGCGAGGCTGCTTGTTTGAGTACCTAGTAAGTCTTGCGTTGTTTATAAAGTATATCTAACAGTCAACATGATCCAGCCACGTCGAGCCTTCTAGGTGTCTATCATGTTTTGAACGCACACGACAATACAGATGGTGGCAGTTGCGGACTAAACCTCTCAGAGGCCCAGATCGACAATTATATTGTGTTGAAAGATAAGGCAATAACACATAAAAATGTGAACTGCCGCTACAGGCTGGACTTTTTTATATATGGAGCCTCCAACCTACATACTATTTGATCAAGGGAATTTTAGTCATTTGGAGTCTTCCTCCCCCTTTAGTCCGCCACTGTATAGCGAATCATGTGTCGCTCGTGCATCGCAATGTTCAAAATTACTTGCGACGCAAACATCACTACATCGCGAGATACCCTAACAGTTAGCCTACACACCTTTGATGATATTATCTTAAAATACATACATTGGGTTAAACTAACAATATTTTGCTTCGATATTAATTCTTAATGCTTTGCAGCTTACTGATGCCCTGTTTGATATATATTTATCAAAATGAAGAGAATAACAAAATAAATCATATAAACGCATAGGACGTTAAAAAAATAAACTGATACATATTTTAGTTGATTGGAGTCTAAAATTAGAATTGAAACATATACAAAATCATAGAATATAAAAATAATTATATATCTACTTGTTTAAAAAATATATAGAGCAAAAATTTAAAACTAATTAGTTCCACGTGCACCTATTGTTGACGTTCCAAATTTTCATAAACCTTATACAAATTCGAAAAAAGACGCAAGCAAAAAGATATCAATTTAACGTGCTCTCAAATAATTTTTTTTTTTACTCAAAGGGCAGCTCATAGTAAACCTGTTTTATTTCATTTATAAAAAGTTTGATATTCTTTTTTAATTAAAAATAATCGCATTATGTAGTCAGTAACAGCTATGATGAAAATACAAACTTTTTATGCCTTAATAATGTTATTTGAATACAATTTCATTTTACTGGATTTTATTTTGTTTATTTAGTAAATATCAATGGATCATAAATCTAAAGTATTTACATTAAATACAAAATTCAAGTTTGCAAATTTTACAGTTTTCAAAAATACTATAGTTAAGGGCACAAAAACTCAACTAAGGCGAATATCACTTAACGCATAGAATTATATTAATATGCATCCATAAATTATATATTTATTTATATTATGTAGATATTGAAACGTCATGACAAGAATTCATCTGGATTATACATAATAATTTACACAGCCTGTTAACACAATGATAGTACTGAAATCTCATTTACAATAGGTGTTTGAATACTCGATAATCACATTTAATTGAAAAGAAGAAACATCAAATACTTTAGATGTTTAATACATTTATATAGAAGAAAATCCATTATCTTAAATTTTAAAACACAACGAGTTCATAATGTATCTTGTTACATTATATTTTATAGTTAGTTTAGGTTACGTCAGATTGTAAAAAATCTAGTAAAATTATGCAACAATGTTGCTTACAATTTTACGTCGACATCGTTCACCATTTTTATACCTACATTGGTATTTTTTAATTAATTAGTCACAACTAGATATAGTAGTTGTGAATAAAACCTATAACAAGTTACATTATCCTATAAGATTTTCATCTTACTTAGCGTTAATCTATAACTGGGTACATCAAAATGTATTCGACTTAAATCGGAAAACTTATTATTTTTTTTAAGTAACCTCAAACAAACGTCAAACTGAAATTCGGTCTATCACTAATAAACGAATTTGTTTAATAAAAATAATTGGGCTACATGTCTACATAGACTTTTATGTTTGCAGCACCCAATAGGATTTGTATAGACATATTTCATCCAGTGAATATTTAAAAACATTGAACATAAAATCTTTACTTTCATGACAATATAATCTTTCTATCTTTTTAAATAAATAGCGTTTTAACTGGGGGTAGGTTTTAACTAAAACCCAGAGATAACGAGCTATACTTACGAGTTTATGTGATGTTATTAATAAATAACATTAACGAGTGTCCCAAAAACTGTGATATCTGAGTAGGCAGATACCTACTTATTTTTTTATAATTTGACCTAATAGGTACTAAAGTCTTTTGACTTTAACAAGTACTAAACTAACTTATAATGAATTATAAATTAAGAAGGTAGATTTTAATGTAGAAGACATTGTAACTAGATTCTATATTATGCTGTATTGATAAAGTCTAACGACTAGAGAGTTGGTAGCATATCATAAAAAATTAAGCTTACAGAATACAATAGACGGCTCCATCTTAGGACTTTTAGAGTAGTACATATCTGAAGGAAGATCGTTCAAGCGTCTCACGGAAGTATGCGCTAGTACGTGACGGAATATCTATCGAGTGTGCAAGAATGATCGTATTCACATTGTACGAAATTGTAACTCCACGATATCGTCGGACAGGTAGTTGAATACAATCACTACTAGATGCTTTCACACTGTATCGCTTATCGTCACGGTATCGTATATCGATAGATTGTCGTGCCAATATCGGGTAAAGACACAGTTATTCGACGTGTTCGACTATTACATCGAATATTCTATTATACTTTCGGAATCACGCGATTAGTATCATGTCGTGTCGTTATCGTCGCATTGTGTAAACGCCCAATGTCATATCATATAATTTGTTAGTTCTGACGTTCCGTCACCGACCTGATGTATCTTCCGAGAGATTCGCATCTCACGATCTTTTGAGACCTCATGGGTACACAAAATTTAAATAAAATTATAATAGTTGATAAAGATTGAAATTCCGAAGAAAAATCTCGATATTTCATACCAGTAATTTATCGATTTTTAAGACTCGTTATATTATTGTATAGTTTTATAGTAATATCACTAAATCCTTGAACATTGGTTCAAAGTTCGAATTGGTGAATTTGTGATTGGTGAAAAGACTAAATATAAATTAATTAATGAATCATTTGAAATTGTGTTAGCAAAACGTTAATAGATAAATGTATGAACATTTCAACATATATTATTATCAACTATTGAACGTTATAGATGTTGAATATTTTATTGAAATTAGTTTTACGGAAAGCAATAAAAATGAGTCAACAAGCAAAAGTATTGCAAATAAAATTGATCAATACGAAATATTTACTCAAAATACAAGAATTCTAAAAAGCATTATAAACTAAATTCAATTTTATTTCTTTAAAAACAAAACAATATAATGTTAACACATTAACCCTAACTAACTAAGAATAGGATACTTAAAATAATCTTACTTTAAAATAAAAGTTTAAACTTATTCCTCTATAGTTAACTTACTAAAACCATTCAATTGTTTTGCGTTACCGTTTTCTACTATTGTTTTATCGTTCTCGTCACTTAAACACAAGTCGTCATCTTCGTCTAAAATAAAAAATTAAAGATTTATTTATTTAGAACAATCAGTAAGAGATACAATAAATTAAGCATAAAATGTTGTTTAGCATAAATTGTACTTATATAAAGTTAATATACTAAAAAAAAATCTTTTCTTGCGTCCCTACTGCAGGGGCAAAGGCTTTAAGGAGGATAGGTCATGACTCTTCATGTTGGCCCAATGCGGATTGGGGGGTTTTAACGCGTACAAATACAGCCGGAACCAATGGCTTAACGTATCTTCCGTAGCGCGGAGTAGCTCGAAGTAATAATTTTTGGCCACCCATCCAATGACTGACCCTCGCGAAAGTTGCTTAACAACAACGCTTGCGAACCGCGGAACTTATCATCTACGCCACCAAACTAATAAATATATATTAAAAAGTATATCATACAAACCTGAACTGACGTCGGATTGATTTCTAGGGCTAAAACGACACCCTTTGGATAAGTAGCTTTTTAACTTGCCGAGCGAAGCTAATATAAGTCTGAAACAGAAGGAGGAAGATGTAAATTTAATTAATAAAACTGTTTTGAAAATGCTACGACGATACAATAATACGGCGACAACCATAGAAAATTCACACGAGATAACAATAGAAAATTTAACATTTTGCAAACAGGTATGGACACAGCTATGTTTACCCTATTTTTTACCTTTTTCTGTACTAGAGGGCGGGAAATATGGTTCATACATTCCTACATAGGAAGGCTAAGGATCATCATCACCAGCCCTTTAACGTCCCCACTGCAGGTGCTCAGGCCTTCCTTATGGATGGTTAAGGAGGATGGGCCATGACCCTCCACGCTGGCCCAATGCAGATTGGAGGGTATTAACGACCATATTCTTAAATTGGTTAGAATATTTTACCTAATAACTACAGAATCAAAAATTTGTTACTTAGTACTGGTACCTATAATTTAAGATTATTACTTATCCCCTCAGTAAGCTTCGCGATTTAGTGAAACTCAATACAAGTCCTATTGACACAAAACAATATGGACCCTGTTCTGTAAAATGGTTTCAAGTGACATAAAATCGAAAATTGAGTTATTGGTACCGTTGGATTCGTATTGAAAATCTCTATCGGACTCTTTAGGTTCAAACTATGGAAAAATAATGTGCTCTGAGATATTTAAATAAATAAGGTTATGCAAAACTCAATGAGGCTCATTTCGAGATTTGCAAAAAGAATTCACGTTACTTGACCCCATTTGGCGAAATAATTTATCACCTATATTTGTTTCGTCAAAAGGTATCAAGTGTATTTTGACACCTTAATGCCGATAACTTTACCTAAAATGTTATGTTTTGCAGAAGTATTTTAACAGATCCTTAAAATCTTTATGCATATTTCTAAATCGGGTATACGTTTATGCTCTACTTATAGTATTTGTGTCATTTGACACCTTTAAACGAATAACATTTTCCGTTACGGCTAGGTAAGTATCTATCTACAATATTCAACTTCGTCCAATATTTCAAATATAGAAATAGAACAAGTAGAAGGCCACATGGTTGAAGTCTCCGAAAAGAAAACAGTTTATAAAAATACTGAAAATAATAACGAAACTATTTGCACCGATAATACCACGAAAAGCAACTTATCTGTTATGAATGTTACAATTGACCAAGATTACTTACCAGTTCCTTCTTCTAGTGAAAATACAATTTTAGAGCCCGGACAAATCAATAATAAGGAAGGACGACCAAGAAGAGGTAGAAAAAGGAAGTATCCACAACAAAATAGAAAAGAAAAGAGAGCAAAACTAAACCACGGTAAAGAATACATAAATTACAAAGGATTAACAGTGCCGTCAAAGACTTTCGTTAATGGTTATAACTGTAGTTATAAGAAAAAATGTACAGAAAAAGTTACAGAGATTGAAAGAAAGACAGTATTTGAGAATTATTGGGCAGCTGGTAGTTATGAAGCACGTTGTGCATTGTTACAAAGTTTTTGCAAAGAATTAGAAAAATCTTGAAATAATCAAATAAAAGGACATTTACTAGAAAATATTATCTCAAAGGAGTCTCAGTTTGTAAGGCAGCTTTTTTAAAGACATTATCCATAAGCCAAAAACCCTTAGACATTGCTCTAGCTAAGCATAGACAACAGAAGCCGCTGTTGGATAAGAGAGGATGCACTGGTGGTCATAATAAAATCACAGAGGCTAAAAGTCAGGAAGTGAACAATTTTATAAAGAGTTTACCGAAATACAAATCTCATTACTGCCGCGAAAAAACTAATTCGAAATATTTGGCACCAAATTTAAATCTTAATTTTATATATGAGTTGTACAAAGAAAAATACCCAGAAGGCGTAAGTAAATCAACGTTTTAAAATATATTTTACAAAAAGTTTAATTTAAGGTTTAAGAAACCTCCGAAAGATACCTGCAATAAATGTGATATTTTTAATGTTCAGAAGAAAAATTTGACTGGTCCAGAATTGGAAAAAGTGGAAAATGATCATCGAGTCCACTTAGATAAAGCGAAATCTCTTAGACAACAAATGAAAAAGGACATGAAAGTTGCCACTATAGACAACACAATTGAAACTCTTACGTTTGATCTCGAAAAAACCAATTGTTTACCTAGATTACCGACGAATATTATTTATTATAAAAGACAATGAATCTCTACAACTTTGGAATTCACCAGGCGAGTAATAATCAAGGCTATTTGAATATTTGGTTGGAACATGAGGGGGGAAGAGGAACCCAAGAAGTTGGATGCTGTCTCAAAAAATTTATATTAAACAATTTAAGAAATACTACTAAAGAATTAATTTTATGGGCTGACTCATGCGGTGGGCAAAATAAAAGTATTAAATTAGTTTTAATGCTTTTACATCTGCTTTTGAACCATGACAAGTTAGAAAAAATAACAATGAGATTCCTTCAACCAGGACACACATTTCTACCGAATGATTCAGAGTTTGGAGACTTAGAATGCGCGTTAAAGACACATAATCGTCTATATACCGTTGATGACTACATTAATGTGATGAAAAGTTGTCGGCGTAAGAATAAATTTGTAATTAATAAATTTTGTAGCGAAGATTTTCAATCTGTAGAACCATTATTACAAGCTATTACGAACAGGAAAAAGGATATCAACAAGGAAAAAGTATACTGGCAAAAAAACATTTCAGATCGAAATGAAGAAATGTGAACCTAACAAATTATATTTCAAATCTGATGTAACATCTGAAGAGGTTCAAACAGTTGATATAGCCAAAATAGGTAGGCGGAGACAGGTTTCATTTAAAGATATTGAGCTACCACCATTATATCCCAGAGGTAGAACTTTGTCTGTCGCTAAAATAAAGGATCTCAAAGATATGTTAAGCCTTATTCCAAACGATGCAAAGAAATTTTACGGTTTCTTAAAAGTTACAAGGAGTTCAGAGTTTGACGACGATGTCGATGGTTTTGGAGAAATTATAGACTTTGATGTGTTGCAATTTGAAAATGAAACCGAAGAATAATAAGTATTTGACTGATAAAAAAGACTAGGTAAATGTTACCTAATTATAAGTTACCTACCTAATTACTTTAAAAGAAAATTATTATTATTGAGAATAAAAGACTAAATTTGTTACTATTGTGAGATAAGACTATTAAAAAAAATCTTAGTAAGGTAATTTAAAAATAAAGTCTAAATATCTAATATTTATAAGACATGATTATGTTACAATAAATATTAGTGCCTAAGTAAAACAATACTTAGTACCTACTTTGTAATCTCAAGACTGATTATATAAATGGAACTAAAATAATAATATTTTCGTTTTTTTTATCCTTTATATACTCATTGTTTATTTTATAATTAAATTTGTTAAAAGATTTCAAGTACACTTGATGCTGTTTAGATGCAAGTTATTAATCATAGCGAGTATAAGCAGAAAGGTGTTGAACGTATTTTATTATTTTCTAGTAAAATGGGATACTATAGCAGAAAATTATCATCATTTATATAAAAATAGATTAGCCTTCTAGTTATATGCAAAATCTCAATTCAAACGTTTATTTATACACGAAGTTATACCAAAATAAAAATTGGGCGGTTACAAAATCTTTGATGCCTAATATCTCAAAATGACGTTTATGTCAGTTGAAACCTTTCTGCTTAACAGGGTCCATATATTTTGTTGAATTTTATGTTATCCATGACCGAAAAATTGCATCATTTCAAATGAGCGCTTAAAGTTGGATCAAAAATACATAAGAATTAAAAGTTGAATAGGATGTAAACTATATTTATTAAAATATGCTGTATTGAAAACACTTCTTTGAGGTCGATGACCTTAACCGGACGTTTTTGTGATGTCGTGCACACTCACCCTAAGAACGGCGGACTCGGCGAGAGTGGCCGCGACAGATACTCCGGATGAAATTGAACAGATACATAATATGGGTGATTTTCTACCACAGCCACTTCCATGCGAACACGGTTTTCGTCCTACAAATGAAATTGGACATTTACTAATAATACACTAAGATATTCTGTGTTTGCAAGCCTGCATTTAGACAGAATAAACTGTAATGTTAATAATCTTGAAACTTTAAATATTCATACATTTTTGTTTTATTTTATTGTATTTATTGGACAACCAACAAGACATTCAGTTAAGTTTTTACATTGGTGACATGGTTGTTCATATTTTGGAGTGAACTCTTAATTATAGGTTACCATGGCAAGCATCATAATATTAAAATTAAAAAATATGGGCATGAAAACTACTTAACAAACGTGTTTCATGACAAAAGAGATGAAACACGTTTGTTAAGTAATTTTATGACATGTTATCTTGAAATCGAATGTAATTTCACTGATATACTTTAATCTTAAAAAAAAAATGTTGTGTATACTTTATAAAATAATAAATTTTACTTTAGTATAGAAACTGAATAGTACTCTTTATAGCATTCTTAGGCGTTTTCTTATATACAAGTTTCTTACATGGTAAGAACAGATCAGCCTGGGGGTTTTATATTATTATTGTTAATTTTTAATTTGCAATGCCATTTTAACATATATTATAGAGTTAATTTACTAATCTCCAGTATGATTGTAGTCAACATGAATAATCTGAGCTCAGTTTATCCAAAACATCCGAGTCTTACTTTTACAGCAATTCATAGGGATTATTTGCACACTATGTTATTGCATACATTTCTTTTTGGCGTGCACTTAAGGCTTGTAATGCACTATCGTAGTCGCAATGCGGTAAGCCGATGTCTATTTTTAAATGAATCCGCACAATAACAATGCGCTAGCTTGCGGTCAGTCAAGGAATTATGGGCTAAATCAGCTTAACGGATCATACAAAGTTTTTTTTTTTAAATACCTTGCCAACGAACCGTAAACCAGCGGCTTCAAGCCTGTCTATGTATTCTGGATTAACTTCATATCGATGTCTGTGACGTTCTTCTATTACGTCTCTATTATAGAGACGAGCTGAAAGATGAAAGAATAAAAAAACATGTAATAAATATCTTTCAATACCATAATGATCAATATGGGATTAGCTGTCGACATTCTATTTGCTAAAAATTTTAATTACATTAATTTTATTTACTGTTGTTTTCTAACTTACTTATTACACTTGGCTCTAAATAAGTCTTCCTCTTGCCCAAACGCATAGTACCACCAAGGTTTCCAGGGTGATGTTCGGGCATGTCTATAACCAGTGGATCCTCACAATTGGGATTCACTTCAGTTGTATTGGCCCCTTTCAAGCCCAGAACGTTTCTGGCAAATTCAATTACAGCAGCTTGGAGTCCAAGACAAATACCGAGAATAGGTTTCTGAGTCTCACGGCACCATTGACATGCTTCAATTTTGCCTTCCATCCCCCTTTGGCCAAAACCACCGGGTACAATCACGCCACTAAAAAATTTTTTTAACTATATAGTTGACAAATAAAAGGATTGCACTATTATTAAATTAGAAAATTTATCAGATGTAGATCATATTTATATCTTAGTACTTCTTTGCTGTAAACACTCAAATAAATTGTCAATTGATTTTTTAAACTATTTCATGGAACTTACTCGCTTTTACAGAGGTCTTGCCAAGCTTTGTGATAACCAACGGGATCATCTATTTTAGTTTGTTTCTCTAGATTCACAGCCTCTATATAGGTAAGATTCAGCTTACAACCAGCAGCAATACAAGCATGCTGTAGAGCTTTTGTGACACTAGCGTAGCTGTCTTCTAACTTTGTATATTTGCCGACGAGGGCTATGTTCACTTCCTTACGTAGATTGTCTACGCGTTTAGCAAGGTTTCGCCATTTCTGCATGAACCTGGAAACAAAATAAAGATTCGTGTAGAATACGTGACGTACATATCGTGCACTCATACAAAACATACAAAAACCTACCTTCCAGGGCGTGGCATAGATATATTCAGTTGTAGTCTTTCATTTATATACTGTACTAGTCCTTGAGACTCCATAAGTAAAGGTACGTGGTATACTGAACTTAAGTCATGAATGCATAAAACCTGTAAACACAGTTTAGTAAAAAATTGGAACAACAAAAAATTTCCAACCTATAATCTTGGTATTCTTAATTTAAACATCATTTAAAATTTATTTAAAGGGGACACTTGATCACCTAGACCTAGATTCCTAATTAATGAGACTTCTAACTGGAATATTAACTGTGAAATCTTACTTGATTTAAATTCTTTGTATCATGTAATCATTAAATGATAATTACCAAATATTTGACTAGAAATAAAACTATTTGTATTATATATTTTATGATTGATAAATCAGTATTTCAATAACAATAAAAAATATATGTATCTCTGATCACTTGATTTTTTGGTATGGTAATTAATTTATTTTAAGAACCATTACCATATTATGTATTAATTCTAGAAAGATACAATTAGTTCAGAGAATTTTACTGTATATTTATTGTAAAGATTGCAAGCGTTGCAAATAAAACTATTCCTACTTTGTATATTATGTTATTAAACAAAATATATAATAATAACAAAATATAGACATTATACAACTAGGTATCATGAGTTCAGTTAGAATAAAGTTCATTCAACACAATCAACATAAATTAAGTATTGTTCCATATAGTAACAACATACGAAGAATAACAATAGTTATTTTCATTGTTCTATTTTGTAACTGATACAATCAAGTTCTAGGAATGGAAGTTGTTCTTTTAATTTGCTATAAACTTCTTCCTGAAACATAAATGATTGCCTTTACAAACATTAATTTGTAAGACAGAAAGGTTTAAAGCTTAAATTTTATACTTTAAGCAGTTGAAAATCCTATTAATATTATAAATGTGAAAGTTTCTTTGTTTGGATGTTTATCCATCAATCACACCGAAACTACTCAACAGATTTTTATGAAATGAAATTGATATACAGTTAGGGTATTAGCTGACTTAGATAATAAGATACTTTTTATCCCATTTTACATTTCCCTAGGGACCAAGCGACCGAAACTGCAAAAAATAGTTTTATGAAAAGTACAAACTAGTTTTTTTTATAAATATTGTTCTACCTGTTCTGGTGCAACATGACAGAAATTGGAGATTTTTTCTTTCACTGTATGATTGATAGGTTTCTCTGAGCGACATAATATCAAGTCTGGTGATAAACCTAATCCTCTGAGTTCCCTTACAGAAGACTGTGTCGGTTTTGTTTTTGGTTCGCCAGTAGACTTGGGCTAAAAACAGATGTAGTTTAATGATACAGTAGACAACACATCCACCCTATGCATATGAAAAAATATAAATATGATGTATTAAATGCTTTATTTTGTTTATTGTAAATTATCGTTATAATCCAGCACCAATCTAAGGCTGAGATTACAATGTATTTAGCTAAGTAAGTCAATGAATAGCCTATATACACCATCAACTCAATGCTCATGATTGAAAAACTAGATTTGTACATCAACATAAATTTTAAATACTCAATAATTTACTATGCTACATTTAAAAAATGGTGTTGAATCTTCATTAAAATATAATATAGAAAGAAGGTGATAAACTCACCATCGGTACCAATGAAACATGAGCACAACAGAAATTCTCTCTTTTCACCCTGAATTGGAATTGTCTAAATGCTTCAACAAAAGACATGCTTTCTATATCTCCAATAGTTCCACCGAGTTCCACAATGCATACTCTCGGTGGGGCATTATCAGCTGTTACTGGAATATGAGCCACCCTTTGTACCCACTCTTGTATAGCATCAGTTATATGGGGGATTACTGTAACAATTTTTATTTATTGTAGGTAACAATAAATAATAGATTTTCACTCACTTTATCAATGTAGGATTCTAGTTTGCATGAACATTTAATGTAACCAATTTAAATCAATAGTATGTACAAGGAGTTTTCAATTGTTATAATACAAAAACTGTGTTGTTTGTTACATGGTATTAAGAACCATATAGATCAAATATGTTTTTTTGTTTCATTGGAACAGAAACAACATCTGAAGATCTTATAGTTTGGACTTCAGAAATGTAATTCCTTGGTAATTTTTGAATGAAAACCAGTTTTAACAATTGTAACAATTATATAAACACATCATAGAAGAATGGAAAAAAGAATGAGGAAAAAACAGAAAATTTCTGTCAAAAATTTTTTTTGTTACTCTTTTCAATTTTTTTGTTTAGTAATTTTCTATTTCTCAATAGCCCATTACATTCACCCCAATGGGGATAAACCAAACCTTGTACAGTTTTGCCAAGATAGTCGCCTCGTCTCTCACGTTCTATAACTTGCTGATATATTTTGCCGGTAGTGATATTATTGTCTCTATGCAGCGTTATATCCAAGAACCGCTCGTAATTGCCAAGATCAAGGTCAACTTCGCCTCCGTCATCCAAAACGTAAACTTCACCTAGAGAATAAAAATAGGCAGGTGTACGACATATAACGGTACATACGCAGATACAACCACGCGGATATAAACATAACCAAAGTCGCACATTTCAAATGCCCCACTTACCATGTTCATATGGAGAAAATGTTCCAGCGTCGATATTTATATACGGGTCAATTTTTATAGAAGTTACATCGATACCACAACTTTTCAAAATTGTGCCAAAAGAACTAGCAATCACACCTTTTCCAACTCCACTTATCACTCCACCAGTGACCAAAATATATTTCATGTCCGGCATAATTTCTAGTTACACTGTACCGTATCACCAAGTAAGTCTAGATAAAAATGTAACTGTAGATATCTCTGATATATATAGCGTTTCGTAAAAAGAAATGAAATAATATTTTAAGCGCAACCACAATACGCACACTCTCTGTGCATGTCAATCGCAGACTAAATCCACAGACTTAGTAGGTATCAGACGACCAACTTCCTAACAAAAAATTTCTTCGTAGAACGTGATTGGGAGCCAGTGATACATGACAGCTTCATTCGTTTTAAATATATAGATTTACTATGGGCAAAGGCATTTAGCTATACAGCCCTGTTTTGGGTAGGTACCTAGCCGTCTTCCTAGTTTCCACATTATTTTTACTTTAATTTAAATTCCTTTTTTGTTTTAATACAACAATAACAATAAAGCAGACTGATAAATCTAGCTTATTATTATTGTTGTATTAAAACAAAAGAGGAAAAACGAACACGTAAATGAAACATACATTTTTCCAATATTATTTATTGAATAATTTATTTTTTAACTTATTATATTTTTCACAGCTTTCTTCTGCATTCTCGGCAATTCTTAGCTACGTTTTTTTAGTGGCACAACCTTATGAAACTTTTCAAGGTAATCACATTTTTTTTAAAGAGGGCACTGATATTTGCATACCTTTTTATATACATATTTAAGGTTTTCTAAAATTTCAGTTGCCTTTGGCCAGAAAGAATGATGCTCTTTTCCTTTATGCTTCTTTTGTTTATCGATGCTCCATTGACACTATCAAATAATTGGTCAAAGAATGAAACAACTTCAGCTGTATTTCTTAATGTTATACTGACGGGCCTGCCATCCACATAAGTTGCTGCAAATTAAAATATTCATATAATAATTGTATGAAACTTGATTCAAAACTATTAACTGTTAGTAAATTTCATCTAATACTCACAGAAATTTGCAGTGTAAGACAAAGCTGCAGACATATTTTTACACAATTTTTTACCTGCAAAAAGAGATATCATGTTTAAAATTATCTTCATTAGAGAATCATTATTGTGATTTAAGTGTAAACTATATTAACTACTTGTTACATAATTAAAAATACGGGTCATTGAATCAACACTTGCTCTGATACAGAATATAGAAGCTGAATACAAATTATTCCTTTTATTTATACTAATTGAAGTTATACTAATATAATAACCAATGCATTACCTTCATCATTTTATCAGGTATAACTTATTGGTCATTTAATTTATGACATAGCTCAGCTTCAGTGTGTTGACAATCTGTCTCATAGACATAAATAATATCATGCCATTTTGCAAGTTTACTATACAATATTAAATTTTTTGTTAAAAAATTGTTCCTGATACATTTTATCAAGTGTGTTGTTCAAATCCACCCCACATATTTTAAGAATCCAACTGAAACAAAAATTTAAGAACTTCTTAAAACATAGATAACAATATAAAAATAAGAACCTTCACTACTTTCATTAAATCTATTAGTTTTCTTTCATATAAATATAATTCTCTGTACCAACCTGTGATTTCAATTTAAAATTTGATAACACTAAGTGTCTTCTTTTAGATTTTTGAGTGCTGATTGGAAAGCTGAGCCTTGGTCATATATTATTGCGATGGGATTAAGGTCCAATTCAACAACTTTTTCTACTACTAACTTTAAAATATTCTTGATGTACAGTAGATGTCGCTCCTTGACAGAAATACTAACATAAAGGCTGTTGCCACTTGTAAATAGCACCAACATAAATACAAGAGTATGATCTGCAAAATCCACTTTCTTTTCTTGGTGTTCTACAAATCCATTAATATTATCTTTAATCCTTATTACTTTTATTATACGAAAGCACTTTTTCTAATGACATCTCATCAAATATGATGGAGCATATTTTTTTGGAGTTTCATTTGTCCACCTGAAAAAGTAAATTCAAATAGGTAGCATATTATTATTTTGTAGTAATACAAAAAATTATAAAAGTAGCATGAAAAACCTTATATGGAATATATTTACCTCTTACATGAAGCCTGGTTCTATGATCAATTTTCTAATCATAGTATTCAGTGTAGTTTTGGATGATAAAATAAAAAATTTTGCTTAAAAATCAATAACACTTTGGACTCTGCTTTGATATTGATAAAGCAATTATCTTTTCTTCGGTAGTGAATCACCTCTCATGTTTATTTTTAGAGCACATGCTCACTTGAATTTCAAAAACATTTTTGCAACTGTGTTCATTTTTTGTCGGAACTTTTCAAATGATAACTTTTTACAATACTTAAAGGTATTTAAGTATTCTTAACTTTATGATAAAAGTTCAACTACGTATTTGGCTTGTTATATTCTTCATTAATTCTCTGGTATAAAGGTGACCATTGGCTTTATTTGGTAATAAGCCTTTTCCTTTTTGTTTGGGTACATTTCACAGGGTCTGTAACATCAAAAGTATTCAGTGAATTTCTCTATTAGAACTACTATTTGATTGAAATAAAGATACACTAAAGAAAGAGACAGGTCTTACCAGATAATTTAGTTTGTGTCATATTTTAATCTCCAGAGCAAGCAACTAATTGTGTAAACTCAGTGGCTGCAGACACAGGAGTCTCAATTTGTTCTTTTAAAATTACACCACCTATGAAATCAATATTGATTATGTGTGTAAGATTAAAAAACAGGATATAATCTTAGATGATATTAGAAATATGTTATTTATATTATCAATTTATTCTCTGATCAAAATCACTTCTAGCGTGCCCGCTAGAGTTAAGTAACTTAATGTAATTTTTCTTTATGTGTGTAAGAAATAGAGATCTACTACACTTTTTTAAAGCAAAAATCTATATTAAAATACACCAAAACTGCTGCTAAAATACACAAAGTTCATACTTTGTTATCTAAATAAAATAAATTAAAAACAAACCTCTGTTCAGTTCCACTTTCTAATATGTGTGGTCAACATGACTTTTTCTTGCATAGCTGTGTTCCCAAGTGAATATAATTTCTGTAATAAAAAAAAATCTAATGAAGAATAGAGGTATTCCAAAACACAACATAAAGTGAAGATACATATCATTTTAATTACATTATCTAAAGGCAATAGCAGATTAAACCAGCCTTACCAGTATTGCTTGAAGAGGGTAGGCTGATTGAGAGCCCATCATCAATAAACAATGACGGATATGCATCACCCAAGAGTCATGATTTTGGAGTGATGAATCTTGGTACAACGTGTTTGCTACAAATGATACTTCTGCCTGGATTAAAATTTTCAGTATCACACACAGCACTAAGACATTGTAAACACTTGGAGAATCTTTTCTCGTTCACTAGAATCTTATACAGAATAGCGTCCTGTTCGTACTTTAACAATGCGTGTAACACAACCATAACACACCAATTTCTTAGGCATCTTCTACAAATAAAAATACTTCGAAAAATGGAGAGTTTATATTACAAATAAAGCGAAGACGGTAAGCACAAAATAGACTACTCAATCACTTGTAATTTCCTGATATGTACGTACATACTTTAGTCTTCTTCTTCTTTTATTAATGGCATATCTGCACATTTCACACAATTTTGCCAATGTGAAATGAATAAATTAATTCCAACATGTAAAATGAATTAAAGATTGACTAAAACATTACTATCTTTACTCTTTGTTGTAATGACAGTTTCTGTCAGGTGTCATGACTCCATCTACTGACAGGGGTGAGGGGCGTGAGGAAATGTCATACATCACTGGACCCCTACGCGATTGGTTTATTGTATGGAGTTGACGGGCCGTGGACTAAATCACTATTTTATTTAAATAGGGATTCCGATTTCGTCCCTTTTATTTGGAACTTGATAATCGATATTTTGATCGATTCACCCACCCAAATGGATTCAAGATCGTTGCTAAACAAACAGCTTCCTTATCCTGTAACTCTTAAACAAACAAAATGTTAAACATTTCTTTAGGTTACTGGCAAAAGAAGATCTACTAATGCCGCGACCGCACGTTTGGCACTTGCCGCAAACTCCAAACCTCTGCAAACGTTTGGCTTGATTTAGGGAATCAAACATCGCCACCCACACGCTTGTGAGTGATTTAGTGTGTTCTGAAGAGCCAAGCATAACGGACGTGATGGATATTGAGGTTATATCGGCCATAACATTTGGTTTAATTTATTTTTGCATGGTCCTGCCTGGTAGAGTTCCTGAAAATTTAAAATATCTTCACTTGACCAGTCACTCATGTTTTTACACAATACAAGTGTACATCTACTCACCACCAGCACACAAACGATACTAAATACGCGCAAACGTGTGGACGCGTCGCAAACGCTGGCGCAAACTTCCTTTGATTTGTGACAAAAAACCGACATAAGATCGGATCGACTACAAAAGCTTACAAGTCAACACAAACCAAGGCAAACACTCTATCCACACGTTTGAGTTTGCTGCGGCTTGTTGAGGTTTGGCAAGCACGCTTGCCACGGCTTGGACACGGCATAATATTCTACCTTGTTTCGCCAAACTCTTTGAATTTGGCGAAACATGGTAGTAGTAGTTCGGCGTAGGTAATGCCATTTAGGTGAATGATCGCACTCGTATATGTTACTAAGGACATTCCTCGGGATTCGAGTATTAAAATCGATATTTAGTTATTTTAAATTATTTTTAATTTATTTGATTCATAAGTTTAAGTTTTTTATTATGTTTATGTAAAGCTTAAAAACAACTGCTAGAGAAAAGAGGTTTTGAAGACAACCTTTTTCTTGACAATATTTTTTTTTTGATACTGTCAACTATTGTTTTTGCTTGTTCTGTTATTTTGTCTTTTTTCACTGTCGTTCATAAGTCATTAATTAATATATATGTCGGCGAGAAGGCGCTTCGATTGTGCGAAACGCCATCTGTCACCTGCAGCTGTCATCTGTCAAGATCTATGGTGCTTTGCGAAACGTCAAGTTATGACATTGACGGCTGTCATCGCTTGGGAGAGTCTATGCTTGTTCGAAGATGGCACTTTACGTTGTGCGGCCATATTGAGCGGACGCAAGCGCAGAACTCTCCGCGTTTCGTATCGCAATCCGTTTGCATCACGTTATTATTAATGTATTTCGATTAGACAACTAATTAATTCAATTAAATAACTGATTTGTGATCTATCTACGATCTTATTT